GGCATTAGCAGCAGCAGTGAGTGTTTGAGCCAGTGTCCTGGATTCGAGAGGGATGTCCGACTGCCGGTTAGCCCGATCCCTTAACCGGTAGTCAGACATCCCCAAGGGGTCCAAGATTGGAGAGGGTGCAAGCCGGCCTGAGGGACAACTCTCTCCCCCGCCCCATGCACTAATTTCATGCACTGGGCCTCTAGTCACTAATAAGTATTTTAGTTTTAAAGTACTTTTTGTCATCATTTTAAAATAGTATAAAAATCACTCTTGTGCCCACTTTATTCTTTAGAATCAATCTGTTCAATTTCCCTCACCTTTCAACCAACCCCACCACACACACACACACACACACACACACACACACCCCACTGTGATTCTGATTAGCTGTCACTGATCTATTGATTTTAGAATTAAAAAATTAAGACTATGAATTTTCTACAACCCATACTTATGAATGTATATTATTATTACGGTTGTTTATTGATTTTCCTCTGAGGTCTGATTTGTCATCCATCTTTGTAATTATGAAATCTTTGTAGCACTGTTTCTAATTTATTCTTAATTTTTCCAACTAAATCTAAGTTATAAGTTATATTATAACTTGATAGCTAGAACAGATAATAATAGTGTGAACCACAAGCACTGTACTTTAAAATATTACATAGGTTTTATATATTTTGTTTGCTTATTAGGTTCAAATTTGCTTATTTATGAATCTGTAAAGAAAATCAAACCTAATTATGTTATTCAAATTCTTCATATCCCTACCATTTTGGGTCTACCTAATATGACAATTTTTGAAAATATGTATTAGCATCACCATGTGGATATGGTTTTGTTAAATTTTCTTTCTCCTTACAAGAGTTTGGGAATGATATGTTTTGTGCTATGTTGATGTGTAAAAGGCCCTAACTGTTAGAATGTTACCAAATGACATTATATATCAATATAAACACCTTTTCTTTTTTCCCCCATGCAGGGTATCCATGCTAAAAAATTATTTTCAGAACTCATATGGCATGTCTTACTTTCACTGTGTTAGCACTGTCTGGTAGAACTCAACTTATTTCTTTATCTCCAGTCTGTATGTATTAGGATTTGTTTTCTAAACAGAACACAACTAGATTTGCATTTTAATCCATGTTGGGAATACTTACTTTTATTAAGTTACCCCTTTATAATAGGCTAATATAATTTATACTAAAATACCTCTGTATTTAGCCTAATTACTGACATTTTATTTTTCCTGATTACGACACATTTTTATTGTGCTTTTAGTCCTCCCTATTTTTTCTGTGTCTGAACCAAGTTTTGTTTTTGTTTGTTTTTTTCACTTTGTAGCCACTTATAGCATTCCAAACTCATGAAGTTCTTCACATATATGTCAAACTACCAGACTCACCAACTTTTGGTCTCTCTTATGCAGTTAATAGAAAACTAATCTAATCTATCTCCCTTTTTTGTCTAACCAAAAATAAGCATGAAATATTCTATACTGGGGATAATAACAGTAAGTCACCTTAAGACAATACCACTTTGGAATTTAATAAACTTAGGTAATATCTATATGCGCCAGGAAAAGGGAGAACAAGTTAACTTCATATTTACTTAATTAGTAAGAAGTTAGTGCCACTTATCTTTCAAACATCTCTGCATCCTGAAAAAGACAAAGCTCTTACCGTTTCTTTTGGAATCTGCATCTGGCTTGGCTCTGCATTCTAGAAGAATTGAAGAAAAACATAAATACAGACTGACCAAAGCCATCTTCAACACAAAGGGACACAAGGTTTAATTGAAAGGAAATTATACTGGTTTTTAAAATCCACAAAATAAATAGAGTGTGATTATATTTTGGCCGATGTATTACTCTGTATTCCAAACTTTCACTGGGATGCTTATGTTATCTTGTGTGGGTGTGTGTTTTACGTTTTTCTAGATGTATGTTTTTAATTGCTCATTCACAGTACATCATCAATTTAGTAGAGAAAGAAAATCAAATCTCACCAAGCAGCTCTTCTATTCATAGCACTATTTCTAATTTATTTTTAATTTTTCCAACTAAATATAAATTATGTTATATGATAACTTGATAGCTAGATCAGATAATAACAGTGTGAACCAAAAGTATTGTACTTTAAAATATTACATATGTTTTAAATGTGATTTATTTCATATATTATAGAGTAGCTTTAATTACACAGTTACAAGGTTAATTTAAAATCTACATATTGATAAAAGTATTTCATTGTAGACACAGATTTTATACACAGACACCCCAAACCAAGGAGAAGTTTGGTCATTGGATTAAAAGATCATTTTAAATGCACCCTTTAAGTTTTCAGAATTTTATTCTTCTAAATCTTGACAAGCAGATGCAACATTAGTAACAGACTGACGGCCTACTGGCTCACTCCTTAATGAAATGCTCAAAGGCAATAAATTAAATAACCAAGGAAAAAAAGTAGGTAGCAGAAGGGGAAAACAGAAGCATGTAATATCAAAATTGGACAAGAAGAACCTCAATAACCTTAAGCTGACTGTATGTTGGCACTAACTCTAGAAAGGCTGCTTAAGAGCGTGTGCAAGCTTTGGCAATCTAATAATGCTATTACCCAAACTCATACTGAGGAAGAATTAAAGCTTCATCAAATCATATCTAAATCTTAGTTTTGCTTTAAATGCAAATTTACAACTTAATAAAGACATCTCCAGATTTAGGATCAGGTGGCATTTTAAGCACAAAATTGGATAACATTGTGGGGGAAAGAGTAATGCATTAAACATTTTAAAATAGAAATTTTTCCAAAATCTACTTAAAACAAAAGTGCTCACTTTTCAGTTTTATTAAAATCTGAAATTTCCACAAAATCACAAAAAATTTTGGATCTGTTAGTAACCATGAGATGGGACATTTTTATAACTAAAATTTATCTGACTTATAATAAAAGGGACATTTTATTCACCATGGCACATCCATACTTGAAGTATCAGCTTAAGACCGTGATCGGCAAACCGCGGCTCATGAGCCACATGCGGCTCTTTGGCACCTTGAGTGTGGCTCTTCCACAAAATACCACGTGCAGGCACGCATGTACAGTGCGATTGAAACTTCATGGCCCATGCGCAGAAGTCGGTATTCTATGGAAGAGCCAATATTTTGTGGAAGAGCCGGTATTTTGTGGTAATATGAATTGTTTTTTAGACAAAGCTATAAAGCTATCTGAAAGAGATGTCAAATGTTGTAAAATGACCCAGCTAGAATATTTAAAATACCATTTGTACATGAAGTAAAACAATTTTCACCACATCAAAAGATAAAGGTGATTCCTCCAATTATGTTGTTTTTATATATAAATAAACTTTGCCCTTTTTTCAGAAAAACACTTAGGACTATGTTAACTTAATATACATATTTCCTTTTCACCAATACTACATAAATACTCTTATTTAATATTTAGATGTGTTGATATATGCATAAAAACTGAAACAGTTTGCAAAAAAAGTTTTTTCATTTGATTTATGTTATTTGCAATAATGTTTATGTTAGTAACTAATGGTCATGGGGCTTACTGACACTCAAGTCTTTTTATTTTCAATAACAATATTTTAAAGGTATTCCTTTTCTTATAAGAAGCAAGCATCTTTATTTGCTTCCATGAAAATCTGAAATCTGAAGGTTTGTCACAGGTAGTAGAGAACACAGCAAACTTTCAACAAGAGCCTTTGAAGTGACAGTAATGAAATAATCAACATCTCTGTATTCAATCAGGCCATCAGTAATTATTCAGTAATAAGCATTTGCTGTCCTAGAAAATATCCCTGCAATTTTTAAATAACCCTACACTCAACATTGTAGATATCTATTTCCAGACCTGAAGAAATTTGAGAAAAGAATGCCTGTAAGGTTGAAAGACATATAAAATATAGAAACTACTAGGAAAATATCCCAATAAATATTGGTTGTCAGGTAGGTAGCCCAGACCAACCCTGGCTCATGTGCATCAGAAATCTTTCATGTGCTCTAAATTTACACACCAGTTCCCTTGGGTGGAAGGCATCTTCTTGGCGAAAGACCAGAAGGCTCACTGTCCCTTCCATCTTGGTGCTTCTCAACAGGGAAACAACTTCCTCTTGGGATTTGCCTGCTAAATCTACTCCATTTACCTAAAACAAACAAAAAGTTTTCAGCTGCAATCTTGTGCAAACCGATAACAGAAGAAAAGACACACATTGTAGAACTGATCATATCTGCTATAAAACATAACTCATTTCATGGTAAAATTCTGCATAATCTGATAACCACCAGGCTGTTGTGCTAATAAAGAAATGCAGATCAGGTTTCTAGAAGTGAGACATGAAGTAGTAAATCTTTCAGTGCTTATCAAAAAATCAAAAGCTACAGTCACCAGAGCATTAACAAGTAATAAACAAATTATATAACATGTCAAGTTAACACAAAACTTCCTGGCTGTGAACTGAGATATCTTGGTGGCCTGTGTAGCATTGGTTTTCTTATACCAAAATAAAAAGTTGTATCTTTTATAGGGGGCAGTAAAAACACACTCAAAAATATTTTGAGCAAAAATATTTTAACTTTCCATGTAATTCTACTAACAATTATGAAGATAAACTTTTTCATCCCTAAAAGGCTAACATTAAAGAAGAATCTCCACAAAATAATTCTGGAGATAATTTTGGAGGAATAGCAATATTTCACCTCAATATTCTTCAATGTTTTAAGAAAATTCTACCAAAACAAAAAGATTTAAAAAAACCAAGTCCTGAGAATTACATCATTTTTATTTTGTAGGAAGTATAATAACATTATCAGAAAGCACTATATATTTAACAGAAATGAGAGTGGAATTTGCTTTTTAAAAGTACTATATCTCTGCCCTAACCGGTTTGGCTCAGTGGATAGAGCGTCGGCCTGCAGACTGAAGGGTCCCAGGTTCGATTCCGGTCAAGGGCATGTACCTTGGCTGCGGGCACATCCCCAGTAGGGGGTGTGCAGGAGGCAGCTGATCGATGTTTCTCTCTCACCGATGTTTCTAACTCTCTATCCCTCTCCCTCCTTTCTGTAAAAACATCAATAAAATTTATTTTAAAAAAATAATAAAAAAATAAAAGTACTATATCTCATTTTCTTACACAAAAATAGCATTTTGTCCAAGCCAATTAAGTATATTATTTAAATTGTAATATCGAAATCTTCCTGTAATTAGACTATGTTTTGGAACCTTTCCCCTCTATTAAAAACCATCTTACCGGTATATAGTTCAATATACTACTAAGGGATTGCAAGAAATAGATAAGTAATAATAGGTTAAAAGGAAGCAAAAAATTTCTAAGTAATAAAAACATCTTTTGATAATTTTTCTATATGCTTCCAGATATCCAGATACTCATAAAAACCCACAGAATTACTGATATTGTATAGATACTAAACAATTAGATTTAAAACATGTGAAATGTAGTTTCAATTTTAAGAGAAAGCTAATAGCTATAAAAAATAAAACCTAACTCAGAAAAAATACAGGTTGCAGGCCCTTCCCATTGCTAAAAATAAAAAATAAAAAACAGTCTTTGTGATGTGGAAACAGTAGAGCAATTATGTGATGAAAGAGAGACTCAAAAATTAAATAAGGACCTTTAGAAAGAAAGAAGGTTACACAGGGACAAATTCAGGGAGAGGAAGAGGTCTGGGAAAGAAGGACAGATAAATTTTTTTTTTTTTTTTGGACTTAGAGGCAAAGATTCAAGTCCCAGCTGAGATTCTTACTAAATAAAACAATCTACAAATACAAACTAAAAATAATATTATAGTTGACCCTTGAACAACATGGGTTTAAACTACACAGACCCACTTATACACAGATATTTTTTTCAATAAATAAGTACAGTACTATAAATGTGTTTTCAATTCCTTATGATTTTCCCAATAACATTTTATTTTGTCTAGCTTACTTTATTGTAAGAATACAGTATATAATGCATATAATGTTAAATATGTGTTAATCATCTGTTTATGCTATTGGTAAGGCTCTGAACAACAGTAGAATACCAGTAGGTGAGTTTATGGGGAATCAAAAGTTATACTCATTGGTTATAAAATGTACACAGACAGTAGGATGGTGAGGGCATGTGCTGAGGGGTGGGAGAGGTCAATGGGGAAAAAGAAGACATATGTAATACTTCAAACAATAAGAAATTTAAATTAAAAAAGAAGTTATACTCAGATTTGACTGCGTTGTTCAATGATCAATTCTACACAATTTATATACCAAGGACAAGTGGTCCCTTTTATAAACAACACCTTAAGTATAATTTGTACTCAAACCTTTCCTTTTATTTAGCCTCTTCTATCAATGTCTGTTTAAAATATAGTGTCATGTGAATGAGAAAAAAAGAATAAGAGCTTAAGATTTAAGTAATCTAGGTACAAAATGTAGGCATGAAAAAAAATCAAGAAATGTTTAGGACAGTTAAATATGGAGAGTTCAAATGACCGAGTGATTCCTCTTCTGACAATTTATCCAAAGAAACCCAAAACACTGATTTGAAAGAATATATGCACCCCTATGTACATTGCAGCATTATTTAAGAGCCAAGAATTGGAAATAGCCCCCAAAACCCATCAGTAGATGAGTGTATAAAAAATACCTGTGGTACATTTAAACAATGGAATACTACTCTGATGTAAAAAGGAAGAAAATGTTATCCTTTGTGACAGCATTGATGAACCTAGAGAGCATTATGCTAAGTGAAATAAGCCAGTCAGTGAAAGACAAGTACCATGTGATTTCACTCATATGTGGCATTTAATGAACAAACTAAATTGCCAAGAAAAATAGAAACAGAATCAAAGAGAGCAAGCAGACAGCTCTAGTAAGAGGGAGGAGCGGGGAGAGGGACTGAAAAAAAAAAAATAAGAGAGAACTCATGGACATGGACAACAGTGTGGTGATTGCAGGGGTGAAGGGGGATGGATGGGTAGAGGTGGTAGAGGGCATATAGGGGATAAAAGATCATGGAAAAATAAAATTAAATTTAAAAATGTATGAAAATACAGGAAAAGGGGTAATATGCCAGGTAAAAATGTTAACATTAGAATTTGAATACTATTTAATATCTGCTGCTAAGAATACAGAGTATGTTTTCTGAAGAAAACACTAAGAAAAAATGGCTAATAAAGTATACTTTTACTCACTATTTATCCCCTTTATTTCCATATGCACAAACATTCACATAAACAGAAATTCTGTATATTTATGGAAGTCAAAGACATTTCCAAAGACCAATGAACGGAAACTCATAAGGCATAGAAAGGAAAATTTGAAAACTGTTTTCTTTTTCTTCTGACATTTTATTTTTATGTCTCAATTTATTTTCCATGCTGCCATTTAAAAACTTCCTGTTCCTCTCATTAAAATATACCGTTTCATTTACTTCAACTGTCTCTGTTCTGATTACAAAGTAGATAGCATTTCTATATTGCCAGACATAAATGTAAAGCTATCTAGAATATAACCTCATAGGCATTGTACTTATATAATATCAAAATGTTGTGGTACCTCATAAAACAAATGTCTGGGTTACTAAAACTTGAGTACACTAAACAAAAAAGGTATTTCTTATCAAATAACATGGGACAATGTAAAAGTAAAGCATAAATGCATTGTTTCGTGATGCATACTTCTGCTAAAATATGTTTCATATTTTATAAAAATATTTTAAAAAAATAACTTCCAAGAGTTATGGAACTTCTGACTTGGAAGCCTCTCACCTCTACCAGGCGGTCTCCTGCCTTCAGTCTCCCATCTTGGATGGCAGCCCCCCTGGGGAGGATGTTTTTCACATAAATGGGAGCTGAGCCACCTATTGTTACATCTCTGGAAGTGATGCTGAATCCCAAACCTTCTGTACCTAAATATATAACACAAAATGAAAGGAAATAAAATGAGATGTGTCAAAGTTTACAAGTATATTATACATTTAAAATAATTGTTATTATTCTCTATACCAACTTAACATTTTATAACTTTCACAGTGGCCTACATGTCTTCTAGTACTTTAAAAGTTGCAAAAGATTTTTCAAAATATACTAAATTCTGAAAGGTTTAAATGCTTTACATATCAAAATTCATTATTTTGAGAAAAAATTGGAATCTATCTAAAGACTGACTAAAGATAATATACATATATAGAAATATGGTTGCTAAAAGTTATTAAATTGGTCTAAACCTTTGATTATGAAAATAAACTTAATTTCTTTATAATACAAAACAAAACTTCTGTTAAAATACACAGTACCTCCAATAGCAAGTATTATTGTGGAATAATGGTATCTAGATTTGACAAGTAGGAAGTGGAGAGGAAGAGAAATGTTCAGGGAGATAAAAAAAAAATAAAGACAACTATTTCGAGATACAGATAACAGAATCTCCCCAAACTATAATTAGTCACAGCAATTTGCCAACAGAATGAAACCCATTATAATTGCCTAGTTCTCTTCTAACTCACCTAAATCTGACCATGTACATTTGAAAAAAACAACCAATAAGGCAAAAATACCCAGTAAAGAATGATCACAGATCATAGATGGCAGGTCTGAAAATCAACATCATATTTAAAGGTGCTAAACTTAATGAGGCATTTAAAAATTACTATGCTGGTTTGTATAATTGAAATTCACAGTCACTTGGCAGCTTTCTTGACAGGCACTCTTATAAGCTCAATACAGTGTAGAAGGTGGTTATATGTCACCAGAACCAACATGCAATAGGCCAGAATAAGCCTAGAAAAAAATGTGAAGATAAAAATTTTTTAATGAATCCAAGAACTTTTGTAATATTTTAATAATGATTAATTTCTACTAGAAGTTTTTAAAAAGTTACTTAAGATATTAGGTTGCATTTCAGTTATAATGATATTCGAACACATACTTGCTCATTTCAGAATGAATAAAGAGATGTGTAAAGGCAAAAAATTTATAACATTCATTCATTTGATTCAGCACTCAGTATAAAACTATGAGGAACAAAATATATTCTATAAGTAAACAAACAAATATGGGCAAATAAATATGAGTGAAAAAGTGAGTTAAAGAAACATAAAGTAGAAATGAAGAAAATATCAAATAATTATACCTGCATCAAAAACTACTGTAAATATTTTCAAGTTCAAACAAAGCATTCATTTACTGCAAATCTAAAGTCACTTTAATACGGCTGGTCTATTCATTTCTTAAGTCTTCTGTGCTGAAGACTTGAAGGGCACATTGTCTATATGAAATTTTCCTAATTATTCTGCTGGGACTTTTCCATATGTCTCTGTGCCTTCATGAAACTCTAATGACTTACAATAACATTTATTAAGAAAAAATTCTAAATTATTCTCCTTTTGCAATATTAATTTATATGAATTATAAAGGCTGACTGAACCTTAATACTACTAAAATATTAGCAATAACCTCTAAATCTGTAAGCTAAAGTTTCAAGCAATGACCTTTAAAAGAAAGATAAATAGATATCAATTTTCATTTAGCAAAGCCAACAAAATATTTTGCACTGACTGAAACAGATTACTGATCTTCCCTTCTGACTTTATTAAAAAGCTAATTTCTACAAAAGAGCGGGGTATTTGAGAATGCCAAAATGGCAATAAATATTAAGAAATCATAATTATGGAAGCAAGTACGTAGGGGCTACTCTATTTTATGATATTATATGGCATAGTTCCAAAATTATGACAAAGAATTTTAATGAAGGCTTCTTTTTTTAAGTACTTAAAACTGATCTCGGTTTATGAAGAGCTTCTGTCAAAGCATGTCAGGTCACTTAGAAGTGAATTTAAAGTTTAACACTGACATACCCTAAGTCTTTTATGTACTTCTTTAAAATGTTAAATGTGCCCTAGCTGGTTTGTCCCAGTGGATAGAGTGTCCCACTATGGACCGAAGGTTCCCGGGTTCAATTCTGGTAAAGGGCACTTACTTGGGTTGGGAGCTCCTCCCCAGCAAGGGCCCTGGTCAGGGCATGTGCAGGAGGCAACCAATCAATGTGTTTCTCTCACATAGATATTTCTCTCTGTCTTTCCCTGTCTCTTGCACTCTCTAAAAATCAATGGAAAATATCTTCCAGGGAGGATTAAAAAATAAATTAATTAAAATGTTAAATGTAACATAATTGGTAAAAAACATCTATTAACTACAATGAAAGCTTGTTCAACTCTCATGAAATAATTTTTTAAATAGATGTATTTAGTATTAATCAAAGACAATCAGCATTCTTCACTGTTATTCACAGTAAGCTATTTTTATGTAAAATATTTGTAAGTATTGGCAGGAACCCACAGGCAGTTTCAACATTTTATCATGGATTCTCACAGCAAATTAAAATCATGGTAGATCTATAAAGCTCTATAATATTTAGATTACTCAAGATTAGCAAAATATTTAAAAGAAAATCATTGTTTCTATTTTTCTTATGTTGATTGAGCACATTCTTTGTGAACTAGCTTGTATAAAATGTAATCATAGCTTTTAAAATGCTATTAAAATAAGTTTCTTTATTCAAAAAATGATTTTATTTAAAAAGTTCATATATCATGAATTGCTAAAATATAAGAATTGTATCAAAAACTGTAATTAACTAAATAAATATGCCTGTATCAGTGTAAAAAGGTAAAGATATTTGTGAACTAATAGCTATATGACAATGACCAGGTAAACTGTTTATCCTTTGTTGAGAGATCCCAAGCAGAACTTTATCTTTTTTACAACTCTATTTGTGTTTCTTTTTTTTTCATAATATATTTTATTGATTTTTTTACAGAGAGGAAGGGAGAGGGATAGAGAGTTAGAAACATCAATGAGAGAGAAACATTGATCAGCTGCCTCTTGCACACCCCCTACTGGGGATGTGCCCGCAACCAAGGTACATGCCCTTGACCGGAATCGAACCTGGGACCCTTCAGTCTGCAGGCCGACGCTCTATCGACTGAGCCAAACCGGTTAGGGCTGTTTCTTGATGTTTTTGCTTAAAAATTAGGGCCTGTCATTTTAGTAGAGCAACAGGAAGAAAGAGGATCTGCCATTTCTCATTTAGGAATTAACAGAGCTTAAAGGGGTTTATGCTGATATGATTCTGTGTTTGTAATGGGTTTCAAAAGTGGAGTAAAGCTCTCAGTTCCTAATCATGTCAACTAAGTAGTTGGAGCTTAAAAGTCAATAACCAGAAATAAGGAATCTGTGGTTCACATAAACCTCAATGAAAGAACATGACTTAGAAAGTAATGAGGAATCTCAGAGCTTACAAGTTTGTAAACCTTACCCCACATAGAAAGAAAAATTGTCTACATGTCAAGATATGGAATGTTCTAGTAGGAAACTAATGCCATCAGCAGGCAGGTGATGTGAGGTAATCGCTCAACTTTCTCTTGGGTTCATTTCCATCTAACTATAGGAATTGGTTGGGCTCATAAAAAGAAAAATATCTATATAAATAAAAGGCTAATATGCAAAGTGTCCCCTCGACAGTTTGACCGGGAGTTCGATCGCTCCCTATGCTGACCACCAGGGGGCAGTGCAGAATGAAGGAAGTCCCCAGCTGAAAACCGCTGGCAGCCGGGGAAGGGAGGCTCTGGCCGGCAGCCGGAAGGCCCCAATTGGCCCTGATTGCCAGCCAGGCCTAGGGACCCTACCCGTACACGATTTTCATGCACCGGGCCTCTAGTTCTTACAATAACACCATTTTGAAAGACAATTTAAAAACATATCAAAATGATCAGCTAAAATTGATCACTGATATCAAAAGTATATCTCAATGCCTGGAGAGGACAGCAATTGGTAATCAGAAATTCTAGCATATGCTTTAAGTCATGGATCCTGTACACAAGGATCCATAGTCTATAGGACAGGGATACTTAAAGAAATAAGTTGATATAAGGTATATGTAATAAAGAATTAGCAAGGCCCATTATAATCCTCCTGTCTCCTTAAGAAACAGAAGCAGTATAATATCCTGGAAAATTGGACTAGTTTCTCTTCATTCTACCGCAAGCCATTAAAACAGTGTCAGAGGAATCAATCACTTCCAATAACCAAAATGGTAGCATTGAAATGGGAGGAACTTTCTAAAGTCCTCATCAAGTGGGATAATCAAAACAGTCAAATCCTCACTACTGTTTTGGGTTTGAATGTAAAATCCTGAAATCATTTTCCTTCATTGTTAAAAATTTTACTGCAATAGTAACTGCTATCTTCATATGAAACTTATTTTTTAAAACCTTATTCTCTGATCATTTCAATTTTTATATAGCCAAATTCATCTGAAAAGAATAAAAATACATTGTAAATACTTTTTTTTATATATATTTTATTGATTTTTTACAGAGAGGAAGGAAGAGAGATAGAGAGTTAGAAACATCGATGAGGGAGAAACATCGATCAGCCGCCTCCCGCACATCTCCCACTGGGGATGTGCCCGCAACCAAGGCACATGCCCCTGACCGGAACCGAACCTGGGACCCTTGAGTCCGCAGGCCGACGCTCTATCCAATGAGCCAAACCGGTTTGGCTGTAAATACTTTTTAAGAAATCATTACATTACTTCTTTCACATAATGGAATAAAACATAGGGTGTTTTGGGTCAGTCGGTTTAGTTTTAGAAGAAATTCCATCAAACAAAAACAAGGTTTGTACCTTTCTTAAGCTGGATATTCAGCCTCTTGCCTATTTTTTTGGTGTTATAACCACTGCTTACACTTGTTCCAAATACACCTTGTGGTGCTGGGGCTGGAGCTGCCGGTGGCTTTCCAGAGGGCTGTGTACTCTGAGGTAGTCGTGGGTGCGAGTCCATCTGTTCGGCCTGGTGGGTCAGTCTGGGTACTCTCTGTGGTGCCTGAAGCCCTGCACTGTTCACACTCCGATTATCAATATACTGGCTATCAGGGCTGAAGCAGCCTGAATAGTCATTGTTCTTCTCACTTTGGGAGAGTTGTTCATACTGCTCTTTATTTGCTGCAGGAACCACATGGAACCAAATGATGGGTGTACGCATGGCCTGTCGAAACATATGCTGTGCTCTGGGTTTGAGAATGAATGGAAAATTAGCAAATTAAGACTTGCAGACTAGAAGATATTAAGAGCTTAATTAAGTATACAAATTAAGCAACAAGGAATGATACACTTTGTTGAGGCTGAAAACCGAAATTCTGATATCCCATTTATCAATCATGTTTGCAAACTCTGATAGAAGCATAACTGTTTCTCCAAACTTAAATTTCTCATTCTCTAAATAAAAAGGAGAAAATTATCATAACTACCGATAAAATACTGTGCTCTAAACTATAAATCATTAAATAATAGTTTAAAGTACAATGGAGGTATTATAATTTCAATATTAATAGAAATTAAATACAACCTCCTCTCTACAACCTCCAATACCACTTTTAAAAAATTATAGCACAGCTGGTATTGCTCAGTGGTTGTGGGTGGACCTATGAACCAGGAAGTCATAGTTCGATTCCCAGTCAGGGCACATGCTCAGGTTGCAGGTTCAATTCCCAGTGTGGGGCATGAAGGAGGCAGCCAATCAATGATTCTCACTCATCACTAATCTTTCTTTCTTTCTTCCTTTCTTTTCTCTTCTTTTCTCTCCTTTCCTCTCCTTTCCTTTTCTTTTCTTTTCTCCTTTTCTTTTCCTTCCTTCCTTCCTTCCTTCCTTCCTTCCTTCCTTCCTTCCTTCCTTCTCTCTCTCTCTCTCTCTCCCCCCCCATTCTCTCTAAAATCAATAAAAATATATTTTTAAAAAAAAACAGAAAAAAATTTATAAATGATTTCCTTACAGGGAACCATTCGAGGTTTTAAAGAAATATACTTAGAAATATACTTACAAAACAATAGAAAGCACATTATGTATCAGCAAAATTAATTCAAGTCTGTGTGTACAAAAATCCTAAGAACAATACAGCCTCAATGACTCAGAATGTTAGGAGTCACTGGCCCAGTGCTACTCCATGACCAGTCCGGGAATTGCACTGCCTCATACTGATTGCCCAGTCCTTATTTCTGCTCACTCTTGCCTTATTTTATAAAAACTGAACAACTTTATTTTTGTATCTGAAAAAAGGACACATGAATCAGGATAAAGAAAATCTGGACAAACCATTCACTGTGGTTCAAAGGAGCTTTGCTTATTTGTCCTGAGGAACATTATATGAGACAAAGTTGGAAATGTGAGTTACAGTATAAAACAAACTGGTATCCTGGTAAATTTTCCAAAAGGTGAGAGTAGCAAAACTGTAAAGCCTAAATTGGGGCCATAATATTTTAAGAAGCACTCTACCAGTCAGAGGGCATTTTACATTTTTTAAATATATTTTTATTGATTTCAGAGATGAAGGGAGAGGAAGAGAGAGATAGAAACATCAATGATAAGAGAGAATCACCAATTGGCTGCCTCCTACATGCCCCCCACTGGGGAACAAGCTCACAACCCAGGCATGTGCCCTTGACCTGAATCAAACCTGGGACCCTTCAGTCTGCAGGCCAATGCTCTATCCACTGAGCCAAACTGCCAGGGCCAGAGGACATTTTAAAATACAGTCTGATGGTAGTAATTAGCTCCAATTTAATTAAATGTTTAAAAGCAACATAAACCAGAAAATATTACTCTCTAGTATAAAGACAGAGATCCCAGATTTGGTGTGGAAAGCATTTTGATGACTGCACTCCATCATGCCTAAAACATGGAAGCACAGCAGTGTCTCCAGCACACACTTACTGTTCAAATCTTCTGTTTCGAAGGTCGCCATCATTAATCCTGACAATGCAATCATTCTCATGAAAAAGGTTTTCTTGTTCAGCTTTACCACCTTTCTCCAATCGTTTTACTAATAACCCCAGGGTTCTGGAACATTAAGAATGCAAATCATTACACACGTAATATTTGACCATGTACAATGTCCCACTGCTTTAATGCTGGTATTATATTTATAGAGACTTCCTAATAAAGGGGCATATTAAATTGCTATTTTAAAACAACACCGCAGAAAAAGTAAAACACTGTAAATGATGTGTAAAAAAGGAATAATTTCAAAAAATATAACAAAACATTTCTGTTTTGTTAATATTGTGTTTCTGGAACAAACTATATACCAATACTTCTCTCTATGCTTAAAAATGCTTCAAACAGAGCTAGCCTGATGGCTCAGTGGATAAGGCAGTGTGGATCATGGATGAGCATGCATTTGTGCATAGGTTTGTCAGTTTTCTGTTTTCCGCCAGCTGGTACACTGCTAATGGCAACCTCCATCATACCATGAAAGTAAAGGTAGGGAGGAAAGACTACCTGAGCATATTGTATATTTGAGAAGCAAAATAGGAAAGAATTAAAAATAGAAGACATTCCATCCTGGCATCTGAATTTGATCTGACCTAATATTCTGAATTTTAAAACTTGTTAAATCTCCCTAAAGTAACTTGTTGCCATTATTCCCATTTGAAGAAAACCAGTAACAGGTTCAAATAATGCCACATACTCATCTCTTCACTATATACTCAAACTTCAGGTTGAAAGAAAAGCCTGAATAAACTTTTAGAGACCAATCTGAAGGGAAAATAGTAAAAATTACTGGTGTACATGGCCTAGAACAGTAACTATTTGACTGACAAGGAAGGACAGTATTCACTCCCCAGAGCAAACAGCAGAACTTTATAGGATCACAGAATAAGGTGACGTAATTTTTACTTAGTTCTAATGCTGCGACTTACTTGATGGTTAGCATAAATTCTATATCACAATCATGTTAAAATTTTTATGAACTTATTTTTGGCCTGTCCAAAGTTTGTGTTTTCTTTCATAATCATAACATTTAGAGAAAAAATGCCCATATTGATAATACAATTTAGAATCCTGCATAAATTAAAGTTGAAGACACCATCATTCCCAATAGCATATATATATAAAGTTGAAGACACCATCATTCCCAATAGCGCGTATATATATATATATATATAACATAAATATATATTTTTTTCCAATAGCATACAATTTGTAGTACCCTACATATCTTTCCAGTAGACCTATTCCCAAATAGTTTCTTCTTTTACAGTAAGTGCTGTTATCTGTTCTGTGGCCATTCATCTTACTCCTGTTATTGGTACTGATAGACACACTTTCTCTCTATAAGCTCCTAGAAGATGGAGAAGATGGGATTCAATAATATAAGCTCAAGCACTTAGCTAGTAGTAAATGATAAGTGACAATGGAATGAATGGGTGACTGAGTGTAGCTGAGGCAAACAAGTCTCATATTTCTAATTAGCTTTTTGCAAAATAAAACACAAGTGAAATGAAACGGAAACTCAGATCCTTTCTTTCATGAAGGTATCATTTATACCAAATATATAATTGAACTGAAATAAATTAAATTGCAGCAAAGGCCCTTTTTCAATTATTTTGCCATTTAATCTTGTTTCTTTCATGAATATTTAGTCATCATTTAACTTCATTCTAATTTTTATTATTAAATATAGTAAAGAAGCAATGTGTTTTACTAGGCCAAGTCTACCAACTAGCAAGAATAACAAGAGGAGATAACATTTAAATTGCCTATTGTAATTTTACCATTTGAGGATTAGCATCTACTAGTGTAAGAGTCTAAAAATCTAGTGAGTGATGTAAGTAATTTTTAGTTGCTTACTACCATATATTGGAAATAAATCAATATAAAAATTCCATGAGCTCAAGGTAAGAATAAAGTATACTGGTATAGCTGCATGAGCAACTTAACAGTCTTAGTCTGTATTTGGAAGAAAAGAGATTTCATAATATGCCACACCAATGATGAAGTTATTGTTAAAATATCATCATACCCACAGTCTACCTCCCTATGCTTCTCTATTGTTTAAGTTGTTTCTATATCCAATGGAACAGTATTCTAGAAGAGGAATCAAGTTAAGATATCTCTATGATTCTGTTGAATGGGACAAAATAATTTGAGAAATCATATTAAATCTCAGTTACTGGTAATAGTGGAACAAGTAAAAGACATTTAGCTACTTTACCATCAAAGGAAAAGGTGACTCAACCATACACAGACCATCTTGACATAATCGCAAATATGGTGCCACACCTGCTGCTACAAGCTGCTTCTACAGACTGAGACTACTTAAAAAAAAATACAGCACTGGCCAGGGGGCTCACTTTGTTGAAGTGTTGTCCCATAAGGTTGCAGGGTCCATTCCTAGTCAGGACATAAACCCAGGATGCAGGTTCGATCCCAGGACAGGGAACATGCAGGAGGCAACTGACTGATGTTTCTCTCACATCAATGTTTATCCCTCTCACTCTCTCTCCCTTCCTTTCTCCCTAAATATCAATAAAAACATATCCTCAGCTGAGGATTAAAAAGTAAAACAAAACAGAAAACAAAACAAAACATGGTTTCTGCAGTAAAAATACATACTACCAAGAGTCGCTCAATTAGTTTTTAATTGGTGAAATCATAATTACAGCATTTCTTCAGCCTAAACTGAGTAATAATGTTTTCATATATTCTAAAATAGTTTGTGTATTTTAAAAGATTCCACAGAATATTTTTAGAAAAAAAAATATAGACTACGTTTAACAGAAATTACTTAGCAGTTAACTAACACTGATAATTTATGTTTATAAATTTATCTCTAATAGTATTAACTCAGTATTTATGACAGTTTAAAATAATATAACTTGGAAATCTATAATTTAACTCTATAGGTAGCATCAATATTTTTCAGATGAACATGTCTATGGATTTATATTCATTTAAATAATTATTTTTCTTTTAAAATTTACTTTTTCTTTCTGGGAATCACTCTAGATGATAATCTAAAGTAAAAAGGCATGGCATTCTTCATTTACGGCCAAATGCATCAATAATCCTAACAGAAATTAAAAAAAACAAAAAACAAAAACTACAAATAATAAATAAACTACCACACTTACATAAAATATAACTGAGGTTTACTAAATGAGGCTTTAAAATTCAACTTTGTTAAAACAGTCACAAAATATCAGAATCCTATTTCTCAGCAGATAAGAGATAAGAGAAAGGATGGGTGGGGGTAGTCAGCAGAGGAAGATTTTCACTCTGAGTGACATGGCAAGTAATCAGGGAATGAAAGAACAGACTGAATTAAGAAGTTAGTAGCCTGCTGATTTCTAAGTACTTGACCACACTATTAGAATCATTCTCTCAAAAAGAATGGATTCACTTAAAAGTAAAGTAGCACAATCTGCAAAAATTATCTCATTAGCTTCACTAGGTGAAAATGGTTACAAAACAATGGGAATGAACTATCAAAAAAACTTCACAAGAAAATTAAACTGATAACGTAACAGCTAGACTGAGAATGAAAAGTACCCTCTGAAGGGAAATCAACAGGAAGTAATAACAGATGCTTCCATCTTCCTGAAAATTTGTGTGTGCAAGCAGGTATATTTCTATTCCTCCCACATTCAATCTAAAGGTATCTCAAGTAGTATATATAATTAAAAACAATTAAAGTATATATTTTGCAAATTCAACCAGGAACTAGAACTTGACCTGAAGAAATAAAGAATTGACTACCTCTGGTATTGTGGTCCCTGTAACACTTTTAGTAAAGAAAATAACTGAAGGTAATAAACTTCAAAACATTTTGGCATCTCAATATGCTGGAACAGAGAATAGTTTTTCACCTTGGCCATTACCAGGATTCCTCATTAGGAGCAACCATTTCCATAAGAAGAAACCACTTTGCAAAAAAATAAGAGACAGAGAGGGAAATAAGGAACTGGTCAAACTTTGTTTGGGGGAAATAGTCCAGGAACAGAAACAACCACCCAGATGGAAAGAAGACTCAGTGTACTGGTTACTGGAACAGCAGAATTATGAAGATGTGGCCACAGGGTTCCAGGGTATGTGATACAAAACATGCTTTTTGAGCAAATAAATATTTTTTCTTATAGATCTGAAACATCCAGAAACACACCTCTCTTCTACTGTTTCTTATACCTTTTTTAAAATTGTGTGTATGTGTGTGTGTTGGGGGGGGGGGGGCGAAGAGACCGAGGGGGGAAAATACTACATCCACTGTGTGTGTGTGTGTGTGTGTGTGTCGGGGGGAATACTATATCCAAAAATCTCACTTCTGAATAAATTTCTTTTAAAAAATGCAAATGAAATAGGAATTTTTTAGGGGTGAAATACGCAGGTTTAGGGTTAGGGTTAGGTCTATATTTAAAAAATAAATAAGGAGGGCCTCACATGTCCTATGTGAGGTTTGACCTTTGAGCTCAGAGTTGCTATACTGACCAAGTCAAAGGGGAATAGTGGCCAATCAGAGGGGATATTGAGGCACAAAAAACTGCATGCAGCCTTTATAAACCTGGAAAAAAGAAACTCAGTGTGACTCTTTCCCCGTGCCCATGTGGGAGTCTGTGCTGTGAGATTTATTCTCCCTCCCCACATGGGAGTCTGTACTTCTTCAATAAATCTCCACCTTTGCTATACCATCTTCTATTTGAGGTTTCATTCTTTGACTCCGACGGACAAAGAATCTGGGGAAGCCATCCTGCCCGGGGGAACACCTAGTGTTCCAGTCCAAAAATCCCATATCATAATGGTGCAACACTCTTCACGTTGAACTGTGAGTATACCCACAGATTCTGTCCCTTTTTTGTCCCTTGTATGATCTTGAGGCTGATGGATGCCCGCCAGCCACTTAAACTTGGCTGTCATCTAAAAAGTGGGCATTTCTCTCTCTCTCTTTCACTGCTCCTTTCTGGGTATATTCTCCAGGGCCAAAACCACAGCGAGCATGAGTCAGTCAAGTAAAAGCCACTAGGGTGACTGCTACTAAAAGAAAAAATCTCCCTTGTCAGGAT